CTGCCTCACCCTCCCAAGTTCTGGGATTACAGGAGTGTGCAACCACCCCTGGCCCTCCAGCACCACTTACTAAAGAGAGCATCTTTCTTCCAGTGAACATGTTTGGCTCCTTTGTCAAAGATAAGGTGGCTGGCAAGTTTGTAGTTGTGTCTGCATCTTCTAATCTGTTCAATTGATCCTCAGGTGCTTTTTTTTCTTTGCCAGTACCATGCTGATTTTATCATAGTAGTTTTGTTGTACAGTTTTAATCTTTCTATTTATCTTTTGATGCATTTTTCTTTCATCTTATTTTTCTCTTTTGACAATGTCTTTTTATTAGTATTTTCTTAGTCTTTGTTAGGTCATCAGTCTGTTCAGATTAAATGTGTAATCATTTAAACATTCATTTAACAAAAATGTTAGGAAGCCTGGCATGGTGGTGCATTCTTGTGGGAGTTGAGGGGAGAAGAATTGCAAGGCTGAACCTAGTCTGGGAAATTTAGTGACTTAATAAGACCCTGTCTAAAAATTTTAAAACTTTTTAAAAGGTCCAGAGATGTAATTCAGTGTAATTTTTAAAAGGTCCAGAGATGTAATTCAGTTCAATGCCTAGCACCACCAAAAAAAAAAAAAAAAAAAAAAAAAAATTTACAAGCACCTACTATCTAAAGGCATTGGAGCCCAGCATGGTGTTGCTCACCTGTAATCCCAGCACTTGGTAAGGGGCTGAGGCAGGAGGATCACTGTGGGCTTAAGCCTGGCCTGGGCTACATAGTGAATTCAAGGCCAGCCTGCGTTACAAAGGGAGACTCTGTCTCAAAAAACAAACAAAAAAATAAAGCCATTGGGGATTTTCAGCATGAATAAGAAACAGCCCCTCTTTTCCAGAAGTTTACCATTCAGTGAGACATATACACACTGACAGCTCTAGGTATTAAATATTTGAGACAATTATAGAATGAAATAAAGGTTTTTATAGGAGAAAAGCAGACTATCACTATTCCAGATTTTTTGAGAAGAGAAAGAGTTAGGGGAATAAGGGAGAATAAACCTGTCTGCGCTGAATAATCAACATGTGCCAAGGTGCAGAACTTTAAAAAATTGCTATTACTGAACATGTTAGTATGAAATGAGGCTGGGGATGGTTAGGAGCTAAACTGCATTCAGCACAAGCCATTTAGGAAGGCTTCAGACAAACAGATCCTTTGTACTAATTTAGGTGTGGTTAAAAAGACTGGTTCATGAGATGGTGTGACCAAGGAAGTTAGAAAAAAAAGAAGCTCGGTGTTTTTTGTACAGAAGAGTAAATTGAAAGGCTCACCAGTCTGACTTGCAGTGGATGGGATTCAGGGTAGAGGTCGGTAGATGATCAGAGAACCAGCAGTTTATTCTAGAGCAAGGAGGCAAAGAAGACTGTCCATAAGGTGCAGAGAAACCTGATCTTGTTTCTGCATTCATAAGTACCTCCTCGAACATTTTGGTATGAAATACTTTGAAGCATGTAAGAAAGTTAAAAGAATTATACAGTAAACCTGATATATCTATCAAGGATTCAATTATTTTCTTGCTGCTGTTGTTTTTTTTATGTCTTCTGTCTATACTGCCAGCCATCTATCAATCTATTTATTTTTTCCTGCATTTTAAAAACGTTGTAAGGCAACCCACTTGAGACCCCTTCTCTTGTAGAACCTTTCTTTCCCCCAATAAATATTTTCAGCTCTTGAAATAACTTATAGCCTTTGATACAACAATTCATTCCAACACTTTGGTGTATCATGAACTAGTGTCCAGTGTCAGTTTATGATTCTTTTGTTAATGTAAAATTTATACACTGTGAAATGCAAATATTTTGAGAATATCATTTGCTGAATTTTAAGAAATGTATGCACCTCTGTAATCCAAACTCTCATCAACTATCGAGCATTTCTGTAATTCCATAAAGTTCCTCAAACTTTTTCCCAGTTTATTCTTGTCTTCTCCAGACATAACAACCATTCTGTTTTTCTTCTTGCTCTTGCATTTCACACTGTGCCTTGAATTGCTGCTCATATTATACTTCTAAATATAGAATTTGAAATTATTTAAAATACATTTCAAATATCATTTCCACTCTTGAGTCTCTTCTGATTCTACTAGATAACATGCTTTTCTCCTTTGGAGAACACAGTTCCTATTATAATTCTCTTATGGCATGTCTCAGACTATGGTGTTTGTATTTATCTTATTTTCTCTGTCTTGTTTATAAAATCTTTGTATATCCAGAATCTTTTAGAGTGTGAAAAATTGTAATTCATCTGATTTAAGGATGCAGCAAAATAAGCAAAAATTTTTTAACCTACCATAATTAGCAAGCATGCATAAACTATTTTGTCTAACTCCCTTTTAGTAAGAAATTTCAGAAGTTTGGACTAAAAATGGAAAAGTTGACTTCACTTTCACAGATGGCACACCTGTAACATATGAAAAGAAATGTTTCAAGAATATATTCAGTTCTGCGAAGTGTTTCTACCTTCCATTGCATCATTCAACAGAGAACCTGCACCGCAAATTTTGCAGTCAGGTTGATGAAATGATGTAATGGAGGAATTGATTGTAACTCAATTTTCTTCTTGATTGTACCTTTTACCATCACCAGTTTATTAGTTATTTGGAAGATATTAAGCCCAAGTATGGAGACTTATTTATTTTTAAAAGTCTGAGTAATTGCATTGGGGAAACTTATTGAGGCTAACTGAGCTACTTCTTGAGATCAAGGGCTTTCATTTTGTTGTTGTAGTTATTCTAAGGTTTTGGGAGTAAAGGTTTATGATATCTTCATTCATATTCAAGACTGTCTGCCTACTAAAGTGATACAATACTTGAGCTGATTGAATTAGTCACTGCAGTGGGAAATACACTTATTTATTTCATAAGTGCAGGCTTACTTCACTCCCCTTGAAGTGTCATAACACCATTGAGCAGGGGTGTTTGCAGTCTACACCTAACTTCCACAGCAGAATTGTCCCACATGAGCAGAACTGCAAGTGTTTAATATTGTTAAAAATTAAAATACAATTCAGAAAAGAAATATAGATTTTAATGTATTGAAATATTACTGTTAAGTTTCTGTGATTGTCCATAAGTGCAGACTCAAGAATGTGACTGAATATGTGGACTTATCCTGGGGCTAGGAGAGAGCTACCAGAACTCATAGGTCTGTGGCAGATGAACTCAGAAATTGAAAGTAAATTACTTTGTGGCAGTTTGGCAGAACTTGCTAATAACTATTGAATTTAATAATAACTTGGGTTTGCAATTCATGTCCTTTATTTTGCTTCCTAATAATTCATTCTTACCATATTTTATAAAAGTTTATGTTTGTCTGACATGGATTTAGGAAAAATAAGACCAAAAAAAAAAAAAAAAAACCAAAACGAGTGCTTCATTATGTATAGTTCGTTGAGGCAGAGTTTCTTAGACGTGTGAGGCATCTGGAAATGAATATATGAATCTGAAGATGGTCTAGAAATTTCTGGCAGTGTGGCTGGTCAAATTCCAGGCAATATTTAGGTCCATCATGATGTACACATTCTATATTATGACTAAAATTTTTTTTAAACGTACATTTTACAAAAACTAACTAGGGATGTACTTCTGTTATTAATCTAAAATACATACACTTCCCATCTATGATTTTTTTTTTTTTTTTTTTTTTTTGTCATGTGGCCTAGTAGCGGCTCTTGTTGTAACACAATGTTTACTACCTTGGAGATACTAAAAGCATTTAGTATAAGATTTATTCTCTCATAATAGTTAATGGATACTAAGTACTTTGTTAAATACAGTCCAAAAACTTAAAGTTACCTTGAAAAATAAAATTCAAAATAATGTTAGCATTTTAGGTTCCCCTCAAATCGTATCTGCCTTTATATCAAGCTTTGTTAGACCTTGGCCAATCAGAACTTTATTTGAATGTATACTACTAAGATACTAGTAAGAAGGTAGATCTATTAAATTCTTGGTTTCTTATTATTTTAATCAGTTGAGACTTCTAGTAAATTCCTTCATATAATCCTATGAGGATTGTTTGTAACTCTCTTCTGATACTTCAGTTACTTTTCATAGTAAGTTACTGTGAAATTCTGTTTTCCAAGGTAGGTGTAAATATACTGTGCTATCTTCCATATAACACAATATTGTAATAATTTTTTTAAAAATTTGGCCAGTATTGTATAAAAAGAAAATCACCAGCCATATGAAAATAATAGCATTGTGTCATTTTGGTCAACTTTCATGTTAGATTTGCAAAACTGAAATCTACTTATGATTAACAAAATAAACACATGTACTATACAAGAGTGTGTCACGAAATGGTTTTGACACAATGGAAACAATTACTAATAAAATAAGGTGTTTTATGATTTGGAAGAGAGCTTTGTTCTTGGCAGTTGCTTTTCAATTTTGCCATTTTTAAAAGTGGCTACATTGGTGGATGAGAGAGTTGTGGAAAAAATGTACGCGATTGCTATGCTTAGAAGACATATATCATCAAAGTTCATCTTACAAAAACACAGCAAGACTAATTTACAAAAATATCTCGTTCAGAAGTAGAGCAGTAAAGCATTTACTTTACTTAGTATATCCTGTTCATTGGCCAATTTAAGAAATTTGTATTCTCAATTCCTTTTAACCCCAAACATTGCTCATTGCTTTTGTCCATGAGAAATTTACTGTGTGGTGGCAAATTGGTTTATTTTGTTCTTGTTGGAGCTTCTTGAAATGTTGGACTACTTTATTCACATGTTCTGTTTTTCAGCAAAGTGCAGTAGCAAGATCTCTTTCAAGTGTGTCCATTCTGTTTTCATATTCTTTCCTTCCAGAGTCAGTAACATTGTGTTATTTTTATAGTGAGGATGCAGTATGGACTGATTAAAAAAGATTTGAAGATCTGTATTATAATACATTAATAAGAAAATTAAAGAATGATATAGGCATTTTTAAAAAGTTCATAATCATAATGTTGTGCTTTTATGTTTTTACAGGAAGATTCTTTGGCAACAGACATTTTCCTTGTGGACTATTTTAATGAATTCCTAAGCCTTCCAGTGAGTATATTATTATGTTCTGTTGAATATATCATCAAAGGAAAATATTTTAATCACTGAATTATTTTGTGTGACCAATTTATCCAGAGTAATATTTTCTTAAAAGAGTAATTGAGGCATTTTGGTAGTTCATATCTTTTTTATAGTGTTAATCATTTGGGTTTGAAGCAGATTTAAAAGTTATTCTTACTGAAGAAAGCTGGAGCTTTCCTGGACATCAGAAAACATTCCTTATAGAACCTGACACAGTTGTATTTGGCACCATGTTAAGCCTTGAACAGAAATGATAAAGACAGAATAATAAAAACTCTAGGAAATTATTTTCATCCTCATGGACAGATATTAAAATGTTTGTTTTTTTTTAACCAGGGTCTTGCTGTATAGTTTGAGTTGACCTTGAACTTGCTATGTAGCCCAGACTGGCCTTGAACTCATGCCAGTCAACCTGCCTTGCCTACCAACTGCTGAGAGTACGGGGGTGCATCTACCAGGCCCAGCAATTTAAAATGTAATTTGTATTTAAGGCAACTACAGTTTTGTTAGTAGTAAATGACACTCAGGACACCATTTCTGGTTCAAGAGAAGTCGATACTACTTAATAGAGTTTCTTTTTTTTTTTTTTGTCTTTTTCCTTTTTATCGAACTCACGACTGCCTGCTTGCAAGGCAGGTGCTTTTGCGCTGAGCTAAATCCCCAGCCCCGTTAATAGAGTTTCAATCTGGGACAGCACTGATTGATAGAGTTAGATGTAAAAGGTTTGGGGAGCATGAAATGAGGGTTCATAAAAGGACCATATTGTTGTATGGAAGTTAATTAGAAATGGCCATTAAAAGGAAGATAGGAAATGGTTTTCATTGTATAATGTAGAAACATGAAAATCTTCTTCAATAAATTTTTTACCAGGAAAATTAAAATATGAAGTCTCATCATTTTTAAAGGAGTGGACCATAAAATGTTAAATCCCTTAAAACCTAATAATTGGTAATGGTATTGCCTGGAAGAGTTCTTTTAGATAGATACGCACTTACGCATGTGTGTGTTGTGATTTTTTTTTTCCCCTCCAAAGGAATTTTTGTTCTCTTCTGTATTTGGCATAACTAGGTGTCTGGAACCATTGTAGGATATTGAAACACCAAGCCACATTCTCCCTTTTCAGAAGCAGACCTGAATGACACTACAGGACATATACCAAGTACTTGTTTGGTCTGATTCCTTTATCAACACTGTGTATTATAAGAAATCTAGAAGCACCACAAAATTGCTCTTCTAGATTTGTATAATCTTTCCTCTGACCTCTGTAATTTCTATTTTTCCTAATTCATTTAAAAAGTTTCTGTTAGTATATGTTTGCATTACATAATGATTACCTTCCTCATGAAGAGTTGATACATGTGCATAACACATCTTAATTGTTGTTACTTCCCCTTCCCCTTTCCTCCCTCCCAACCTTACCATCTTACAATTTGCTAAATATCTGCAGGAGTACAATTTTTATTTTATTTTATTTATTTTTTTGGTACTGGGGATTGAACTCACGACCTCGCACTTACTAGGCAAGTGCATGAGCCACTGAGCTAAATCCTCAATAGTAGAATAATTTTATAAAAAGCAAAATTTCTATGTAACTCTGACTTGCTTCTCAACATTTAATTGTCAAGGTCTCAAGATTTGAGATTATGTTGACTTTACTTGCACCAGAAAATAAATTTTCCTAGTTTTCTTTTTCATAAAAACCTACTTTAAATTATAAACATAATAATATAGAAAATTTACCAAAAAGAGAGAAAAATTAAACAACAAGCTTGCCATCTAGTCAAAACAGATATTACCATTTTGTATGTTGTCCTTCAGATGATGGGTGAAACAACATTCCATTGACTGTGTAATCATGTTTCTCATCCTTCCTCAGCAGACACTGTAGCTCATCCCCCTTTATGTGTCCCAGGCAGCTCGCATGAGCTGTCTTCTATCTCTCCAAATCCTTCTATCTTTACCCCCTTTTTCTCCCCAGTTCTAGCTTCTTTTGCATCTATATTTAGTACTGCACATTCAACCTATTACCCATCTTCAAATCACAAGATAAAGGAATATGTCCTATTTGCATAAGGGATTTGGGGACAGGGAGAAAAGAAATGATGGGTTCTCAAACCAGTGCCTGGCAAAATTCTAGAACATATCAATAATATTTGGTTTATGAGCACTTGGCTGAGATTTAGAAGCTAACATGGGTTTGCTAAGAATAAATGTCCCAAACTGTTCTTTCTTCTTTTGGATAGTTATGGGCTGGTATTTTAGAAAAGCATAAATTTTGTGTATTATGCTTTCAATAAAGTGTTACAAAATAATAAATTGAGTCATGTTACTTCCTACTCTGCTTGAAACCCTATTTAGTGGCTTCTCCTTACTCTTAAGAATAAAATTTGGAATTCAGTATGATCTGGCTCTTGCCACTCTTGATCTCTATTTCCTGTGCTTTATCCTCTAATTTTTTTTCAATTTAACTAGGCTTCTTCATGTTTCTCATGTGAATGTGCATTCAGGGTCCTTCAGGCTAGAGTGCTCATCCCTGGGATGTTTGTATTCCTTTCTCCTGCTTAAAAGTGTTCCCACTAACCCTGTCTAAAATGATATCCCCAATGCATGCTCCATTTATATTGCTTTATTTTTCACTGAAGATCTTATCATATCTGTGAAATTAGTTTTGAAATATTTGAATTGATTCACTAAATATAGCCAGTAGAAGTTGATTCTGTTTTGTCTTTTTGAGACAAGGTCTTGTTATATATAGTTCAGACTGCTCTTGAACTCATTTTGTAGTCCAGGCTGGCCTCTGACTCACATCAACCCTGCCTCAGCCTCCTAAGTGCTAGGATTACAGATGTGTGCCACTATGCCCAGCTCTTATTAATAGTCTACAGATTGAACTTTGCATTTGTTGTACGGAATTTAACACCCTTTACAGTTTGACCTTAAGCTTTTTTGCTTTATCTCCAGCTTCATATTTTTGTGCCACTGCATGCATTTTCTACCTCTCCTAAGCCACCAACCTAATGTGCCCACACATATTCTTCTCGTGCTCAGCACTCACTCTGTAGTGCTTAGTGACAGAGCGAGACAGCACTGTGTCTGATTCTGGCCCCTCTACTCATTACTTGTGTGATTTTGCACACATAACTCAATTTCTTGTTTCTCTGTGAAAAGAAAATAATGATCTTACAAGATTGCTATGAAATGAGGTAATGTATAGTAAGACTTGGTGCTTCTCTTTCCCTTTCCTTCACTAGCTAAACCATCACTTCCTTTCCCAAAACATAATAGGCAGTCGCTGTTTGGATTGGTGGGTCATTGTCAATCTAGAGGATAATCTCTTGTGGTACACAAATCTGTAACTGACTTTGCCTTTTAAAAATTATTTTTATTAGAAATGTGCATGAAAAGTTGCAAGAGAACCAATGTTTTTCCAGTTTGAGGTCATTCAGCTAGTAAATGACAGGTCCACCCAGGACCAGATGGCTCAGAAACGTTTGATTGTTCCACTACACTATGATGACCACAGAACTGGCAGCCCAGGAATAAACTGATTGTTTGGATAACGCACTCTTGTCTCATTTTTATCCTGATATGTAGTATGAAATGAACTAAAACAAACAAAGCTAATGTATTTTTAGGGTTCATTAACAGAAGTATGGTCAAGATAAAAAAATGTTAGTCTGGTGCCTAGAATGCACTCAGTAAACGTTGTTTTAAATTAAGTTGAATTTTCAGACCACATTTGGAATATTGTATTCCATTCTTGGTCCCATATGTTAAGAGTTGCTTCACCATGCCAGACCCAGGGAAATGCTGTAGAATCCGTATCAGATGATGGGTGGAAAGAAAGGTGGATCTTTAACCTGGTTTGGGACTAGGTGGTAGGATGGAATGGAGGAATCTTTTCAAATATTTGAAGATCTGATTGAGGAAGAGGGATTAGCATGTTCTGTGAAATTAGAGGGCAGAACCAAGGCCACATTTATTAGGGTCTGTGTCAAGTTTTTTGTTTGTTTGTTCATTTAGTTTGTTTTAACAATAAGTTCTATTGATTTGTGAAACAGAAAATTCCATATGATTAAAAGTATTCAGGAGAAGGTTACGAAATCATTTTGTAGGAATGTTGTATCAGGGAAATATCTAGGAAGAGAAGGAAAGAGAAGGGAAGGGAGTGAGGAAAAAGAAAGTTAGGAGATCATCTATGAACACTGTATTGGGAAAATTACTTACCTACCCACCCACCTACCTGGGGTGGTGGAATATTGAATTTACCCAACCAAAGAAATTTTGATTAACTTTATTTTATCTCAAATTATACTGTAAATTTCTTGGGGGCAAAGAAGGCCTCTTCTTGCTGTATCCCTCAAAATTTCTTGAAGATGATTCTGTTTTTATTTCTACATCTTCCATGTAAGATCCTTAAAAACAGCCAGATGGTGGTGGTGGGAGGCTTAGCACTGAGAGAGGCTGAGGCAGAAAGATCACAAGTTCAAACCCAGCCTGGACAACCTAGTGACTTAGCGAGACCCTGCTTCAAAAAGGGCTGCGGATGATGTGTCTTAATGCAGGGAGGCACTGTGCTCAGTCCTCGGTACTGAAAACAACTACCACAGCAACAAATAATAATGGTAATAGTCTTTCTAATCCTGTCTCCTACCTCCCCTCCTTACCCAACCCCTGCTTTGCACTAAACTGACCACAATCCAATCCCAAGAGTATAGATATTGCTTAAAGGGCCATCTTTAGGTCATCTATATTTTTGAGATTTCTGAGAGTTTTCCCACATTTTTAGTGACATGCTCAAGGTCCCATAAGTGGATTGTGGTAAAAATGGGCCTACAAGTCAGGCTTTCTGGCACCTAGAGTGTTTTTTTCCATTACAGCATCACACGCTTGGGACACGTTGTAAGATCCAGAAACTGATGGCTGGTAGCCTGCCTCTATGTTATTTTTTGATGAGGGGAATCCAG